GGCCAGAGCCCCTTTCCTTCCTGGGGCTGGGGCTTGCCTTTTTTTCCTGCCGGTAATGGAGGCCTGTGTGGGACTAGCGTTTTCTGCCTGAATCCGCCCCTGTTGGGGTCTCTGATGCAGGCAGCTCCAGCACAAGCCTGAAGCTCTGGTTCCCATGGCAACGCCTGAGCGTTGAATCCTGTATTGTTACAGCCGAGCAGGCGAGGAGGAGGCACCTGAAGTGAAGAGGAAAAGCCTCCAACTCGTCTGCACTCCTGTGAGCTCATGGCGTGGAACGTCTCTCCGGCAGAGCAGCGGCAGGCCGGGCTAGGGAGCTCCTCTGGCCAAGCCTGCCCCTTAGCGCCGCACCCCCGTCTTGCGGGGCTCGCCGTATAAGCCATGTGTCTTATCTGCTTGGCTCAAAGACTTCCAGCTCCAGAGCTCCGCTAGGGCCTTGGGAGCCTCATCCAGTCCTGGATACAGACTGAATCGAGAGAGACGAGGGTGGGTGGCTGTTTCACTGAGGGATGCACTCCGCTATGAGGCGGGAATGAGAGACTGAAAAGCAGGCCTCCTGGACTTGTTTCTCCCTCCTACCCTCCACCCATGGCGTGTGTGGAGGGGAAGCAGCCATCAGAGCTGTTTGCTGAGTCCCACAGGCAAGCAGCCAGCTGCCTGAGACAGATTTAATTTGAGAAAGCGGCTTTCATAGCCGTAGCATCTACTGTAGCTGCAGGGGGGCATGAGCAGCCCAGGGACATGACTTGGACTCTCTTTTGCTGAGGGCTGTGGGACCCTGGGCAGTGTGCACTTCCTTGCAGGAGCCACCAGCCCTTCTGCACCGGGGGCCTGCCCCATGCCCTTGGGACTAAGCTACCGAGACAATGAAGAAGTTTGCTTCTACACGCAGCCTCAATAAGATTCTGCAGCAGTGCGACTCCTCATCCCGCGAGTACGAGGAGATCCAGGCTGTGGAGAAGAAGTGGCATCTACATCTGGCCACTCCTCGTAAGTTCCTGGACAAGAAATGCAAAATGCCGTCTCTCTTCCTTTCAGCTCCACCGCCTCCCAAGAGAGCTCCCAGTACCACCCTGACTCTGCGTTCCAAGTCCATGACAGCTGAGCTGGAAGAACTAGGTAAGCAAGCAACACGGGGGCACGTGCATGCATGCAGAGGTGCATGATGAGCATGCGTGGGCTGTGGTGAGAGCAAGCAGCACCCTCAACATCCATTCTCCTAAGGTGTGCATGAATGTGAGCTCAAGGTGATGTTTGTACCTTCTGTACTGAAGTTTCTATTGTGCTTAGCTGTGTGTGGGGTGCAGGTGACTGAGAGTCACTGTGAGCAGCACAGGCTCGGAGAGTAGGTCTTAGTAGAGTCAATCCACCTTTTCACTGCCACCTCCTCAGAGAGACAGACTGGGGAAAGGGAAATTGGGTGGGTCCCTCTGTGTCTGCTTGCGGAAAGGCTGGTGTCCCTCATGCCTGTGTTCTTCCAGGCACCCTGCTCCTCTCACAGCCTTATCAGCCCATTGTTTTTATTTTCCTCTACCTCTAGGCAGATACCACATGCTACCAGATAAGCTAGCGTCCCCATGAACTCCCCCTTCCCTCCCCCACTTACACACACACACACTGCATACGCACACACACTCACACGTTCTGCTGTCACTACAGAGCCTACCCACGTTTCCAGATGCTTTGGTATCCCAGCTTGCATCTACATGTTCCTCTAGTCTCTCAAAGCCACTCCACCCCCTCTGTCTGTCCTCACCGTGAAGAAGCCCCTCACTCTTCCCTGTATTCTAGCAAACTTGTTGAGCCCGCACTTCCCAGTGCTCTGGTCTCCCCGCAGAGCTCCTGGATAGCCTCAGATTTGCTCAGCACCATATGGGTGTCAGTATTTCCACAACCTTCTGGTTGCAGTTTGTTTCCTGTGCATAGAATTAATGGCATATTTTGAAGCATGTTGTGTCCTGTGCACTACCAAGGCAACAGGGCAGCTGACAAGGTGCCTCTGTGGAGGCGTAACAAGCCACCTCAGCTGTTGTGGTTCAGGGAGGCTGGTTAGCTGAATGCCTGCGTGGTGGTCATCTAAAGTTCTGCCTAGCACCAGAAGGTGCACGAGGAACCTCCTTACCCTTTGTTTCTTGAGCACCCTGTTAAGACAGTCAAACTCTGGCTTGCAATTCTGATGCGTATGTATTTGGCCCTGCTGAGATGGACTGTTTGGGGCTGACACATGGCTGGAATCAAATATGCCGGAAGACTAGACTTAGAGCATTGGTAGAGCTAAAGAAGGAGCCTTTCTCAGCGCTGCCTACTGTCCTGGCTCTTGCTTGTGCTATTTGTATTTATATCTTTGCTGTGTGAAAATGTGGTAACGCGTACAGATGTGCTTGCTCGCCATGGTAGAAACAGTGTGTGTGGCAGGCTCCTGTCCTGCCTGAGAGGAGACCACCTGAGAGACAGAAGTCTAGGCAAGCTGTCCCCCCCACTCTCCTCTTTTTTAGGACATTAAAATGAAGTCCATGACCTTTCTCACTCCACTCTGCCCTGCTTGGGCTGTGGCTTGACCCTTGCGCTCTTTGTTTTTGGTCGGTGTTTCCATCACTGCTAACACATGTGTGTCCAGGTTTTACAAGCCTGCACGGTTCTCCTGAAAGAAATAGGCCTTCAGGTTTAAGGCTCATGCTCTCAAACATGGGCTTGAAGGGAAAAACACTAGTATTTAAGGGTTTTTATCAAGTGATTGACAGCCACTGTGATTTACTTTATGCTAAGTGCACTGCCCTGTTTCACCCTAGCCTGTTCCCCACTTTCCCAGACCCTTTTGTCACTAAGCCTGAAAAAGTACTGTGTTTCGTGGTAGCCATTAGGAGAGGATTTAGAATAGCCAATTTCTTCTACTTTCTTGCTCTTCCCTTTGCGCAGATCCTGGGCAGGCACCACAGTTTATATTTTTATTCTCAGTTGCTGGTATTGAAAACGTTTTCTAATCAGTGTGATAAGTGTGTGCTTGCATTGACAGGCAGCATGTTGCTTTCTGTGAGAACGTTTTCCTTAGCTGCATGTGCCCATCGTTACAGAATGTCAGGCCCATGTCAAAGCCTGGCACGCTCCGTGTGCGTGCCTTTGCGGAGAGGCAGACACACAAACCATGGCACTTTGCCTTGCGAGTAACCGTGCATAAACATGCAAGTGGAACATGGGACTTCACCACAGGACAGCCTGCACCTTGGAAACTGCAACCTGCACCAGTGTGAGGGAATGGTGCACAATTTGCATGTCTTTTGACAAGCACAGCTGTTGGGCATGAGGAGGAGGGGTGCAAACTCGTGGAAAGGGAAGTCACGAAAAGCAAAGAAATATCTCTACCAGAGAATATGTTAAAGATGAGTCCTCTAGGTCTCCCTGAGGAATTTGTACCTAGATTCTGCCTCCCTTCTACCTTGAGAGGGACTAGGAGCAAGCATCTGCCCCATATCTCCCAGGAGAGGGATTTATGGACAGTAATTGCTCTGAGTCCCCATGTTTTCCAGGAAGTTTTAGAGTAGTCCCTACTTCTTATCTTGTGGAACAGGGAGTGTTTTATAGCCAGTCCCACCACGCATCTCCAGTGAGCGAGCGCAGGGAAAATGGAGGATTGATTTTCTTTCACTTTGTTTTTTAGTGGTTGATCCTTTCCTGCTTTTACTGCGAAGAGAGGGTTTTAGTGCAGGTCACCATCCCCGCAGCTCAGTGGTATGCAAGTTTAGAGCCCAGTCTGCCTCACATCGCCTTTTCTGAGGGGAACATGATATTAGTGAAAGGGCGTTTCTGCCTGCAACGCCGTAAAAGGGTTTTTGTTGACTGGTCCCTGCCTCTTTCTCCTTGAAGAGAGGTGTCAGCCTGTCCCTGTCATGCAGCTTGTAGTACATCTCTTGTGCTCGTGGTACTATCTTAAAATTTTCTAGGCTGTACATTGTACCAATGCTCCTAGAAAAGCAGATTTCTAGTAAGTTGCTAACAAAGTACTCCTATCCCACAGTCCTGGCTTTTGACTGGAGACTGTCTTTGGGAGACTTGTATGTGAGACTGCTGACTCTTCTCTGTGAACAGTGAGGGATTAAAAGCTTTTAAAAGGATTTCACCACAATTCAAGCATTAAATGCCATCCAGGCCTCTTCACGATCTTACTTCTTTCTGATACATCATACCTTTCCTGATTATCATTCTCTTTTGCTAGTCTGAGTAAAGAGTTGGGGGTCAGCTCAGATCTAGTTCCAACGGTGCAGCCTAATGGCAGGGCGTAGAGGGGGCCTGTGTCACTTTGTGCCAGAGCGCAGCACCAGAACATGCATTTGTATTCCCACAGAGGGGCAGTAAAGCTAAGGAGGTTGCACGCGATGCTGCCCAGTAGTCACGCTTGGTTCATGGTCCTGAGGCCAGGACCATGAACCTTAATCTGGAGAGCCTCACTGTGAGCAACTGCAGGGAGAGACACACACTGTACCATCAGAGCCTGATCCTGTCAGCATGCTGGGAGGCAGGAGAGAGTGTGGGGAAGAAGCACAGAAGCAGATAGGAAGGATAGAGCTGGGAATGAAAGCAGGAACTGTGCATGCCATTCATGTTTTGTGTTTTGTTTCTTGATTCCAAGCCTCCATGCGGAGAAGAAAAGGGGGTGAGTGAAACTGCACATCCTGGGACTCATCCCTTCCCTGTCAAACACCCGGCAAGCATCCCAGTCCTCACCATAGAAAGGTCATGATGCATTGCAAGAAATTGGCCCCAGCATACCATCCCCTAGTTGTCATGAACAAGCTAAGTCTAAAGAAAGTCCTGAGTAATGGCAGAGGTCTGCGGGGCTAACCTCCCCTCCCAAGGCGGCAACAGCAGGGAGCAGTCGCCGTATACATCTCTAGTAGAGGCCAGCAAAAAGGCAAAACACTGTGGGATCACATTGTGCACAGCCAGGAATTCATGTTTGTCAGCCCAGGCACCATGAATCTCAAGATCTGATTTCCCGAGGATATTACACTTGCTTTGTGCTTGCTCCTCAGTGAATATACCTTGTACAGGAATGTCCTATGGGATCCTAAAGTTCAGTCTCCTTCAGCCCCTGGATCAAGACTTTGGAATTCAGTTAGATGAAATAGCAGCCACACGCTCTGTCGAGATCAGAAATGCAAGTGCTGCCGCTGCTTCTGCCTTTGTGCAGGATGTCCTGCTTCTCCCAGCAGTCCTACACTAAGGAAAAACCTGAGGACATGCCTGCCCTTCAGTCAGGGTTTGACAGCAGCTCCGAGGGCATACCTGAGTAATCTGGTGAAAAGGTAGTTTGACTACCAGTTGTCCTGGCTCCAGATGAAGAGGGCCATCCACCATGAAGGCCATGTTATCAGTGCCCAAGCTAGCTGGAGTAAAGCTGGATAGAGTATGACTATGTATACAGCCACTGCACCAAGCAGGGTCCGTGGGGACAGTGAGTAAGGGACATTACAAAGACAGGATGTTCTTGCCAGGGCTGAGAGCCAGTGATGGAAAATCCTCAGTAGAGCAGGAAGGCTCATCCCATCCCAACACATTGCACTGCATTTCTCTAATGTGGGCACAGGGTGGAGGGGAGGGAGCCTGAAGTTGTGACTTCTCATCATTTCAGAAGCAAAACCCTTATTTCTGCCTTAAGAAACATGAGGGACTCCTTCACCATAAGGATGATAAAGTAGTGAAGAAGCCCAGCAGGGCTTACAAACAGAAGGTCTCTGAACGAGAGCAGATCTTTCAGTACTCTTAGACACAGAGGTAACGCAGAAGCCACCTGCATCAGAGTGATAAGCAGGAGATCACTAGGAATGTCTTGACATTGAAGATGGCTGTCTGCAAGTGCATAGTGGAGAGCTCTTGTCACTTTGGACAGTCAGAACTAGGATGGACCATCCTTGGAGAGGCCTTGGTTTTCAGGGCACGTGCAGCACTGCCTCATCTCCCACCTGCAGCAGTCTGAAGGCAGGCAGGATACACTCAAGAATGCTTTTCTGTCTCCTGGAAAGGCACGACAAACTCAAAGTACAGTTAGTGACAATTTGTTTCCCTGCACTCTAGTGGCACTAGGAGATTGAAAGTAGAATAAAAGCAGAAAGTGAGGTAGAATGTGAGGGCTAATACACTACTGTTATTTCTCTCACAACACAGGGATCCTGAAACTGAATGTAACTACAGCGCTGCCCAGAGCAACTTTCAGAGACACTTGTGAGACACGTTTCCAGTAAATGCTCTTTTTCAAAAAACAGCCTGTGGCCGGTCCTCTTTTGAGGTCTTGCTGTTACAGGTCCACAGGATTATTTAGTTGTGTTTAGCAATAAGGAATGAGCCAGCTCCCATTGGTGCCAGTGGAACCAACCTGAGACTGGTGTGGTAACTGCACCGTGCGAGTCCCACCTGGCAGTGAGGACAAAGAATTGTGAAATCTCCCGGAGAAAAGATTGGGAGGTGCGTGACAGCATCAGGAGGCCTGCTATGAAGGCATGAAGTTTTCTGTGCCAAGAAAATTCAGGAGCTGGCCTGGGCTGTTTCCTTGGAATATGGCCAGGTTCCTAGTCTCACCAGTAGTGTTGGCCTCAGAGGTCATGTGCAGTCCCCTTGGCAAAGGCCATTTGCCAGATGTGTTTGCAATGGGCTCACACCTCCTCATACTGGACTTTTGAAGTGTTTTGAAATGTTTAGGTCTTGTTTTTAATTTTTATAACTCAGTAATGCTGTCTTAAAAATACTAAGTAGGCAGCTCCTGTGACCAGAATGCGCACAGGTGCAGAAGCTGACCATTGAGTTATATCAGTCACAGGTGGGGTTTTGCAGGGTTACGGAGCTGATGCTCAGAGCTCTACAGGTCAATTGGGTCACTAGGATCAGCAGTTCACCGCACCACCCTGGTGACATTTCAGCAGCCAGACAAGGTGGAGACTAAAGGTTTACAAGCCTCTACATGAACTCAGGCAGAGCTTTTCAGCCTTACAAGACTAACACTGCATATGGTTCCCATAGGAGCAGGGGCAGCCATACCTGAACAGACCCTGCATAAGCTGAGCATGAGCTAGCAGGCTCTGTTAGCTTGACTCTGTGCTGGACCCTGTCTAACTCCATGCAGAGGGAGCTCAAGAAGGGTCAGTGGTTATGGTAGCCAGTGTCTCAGTACTGCGCTTTCCAATGCCCTGAGTTTCAGAAAGATTTACTACCCTAGACAGAAAATCCCCATAGCAGCCAGCATCTGATGCTCTGTCTGAGTGAGTAAGCCCTCCTGGCACTGAAAGTATGAAGGAAGTGCAGAACAGAGTTGCTCTGCAGGTATTAGGGAGCAGCAAGAGCCAGCTGCTCCTCAAAGGATGGGGAGTCAGGACTAAGCATGATACGGCCAACAGGCCAGGGGCCGCACCAGTCGGTGCCCAGCCCCACAGTGCCTGAGCAAGTTGAGCAGGGCAGACCTTGGGATGGTAGTCAGGTTCAACCAAGAGTCCAGATCATCAGGCAAGTTTGTAGTGATGAGGCAGGCCTGAGGTCAGGTCATGAAATCACATCATGATCTGGTCTGGTGAGGGTAATCAGGGTCAGACACAGCCCAGTGATTGCCAGACAGGTCCATAATGACAAGGCAGGGCCAAGGTCAAGCCAGGAAGTCAGTTCATAGGTTGGGGTCCAGATCAGTAGAGTCCGTGGCCAGGCACAGACATGTGCTGTGATACAGGTACTGCGAACAGGTACTTTAGCAGCATAGCTCTGGCAGAGAGCAAAGCCCCAGCCCTGAGCATAAATGGAGCTCCTGGACCCATGGGCAGGGGATGTACATAAAGGCCCCAAATGAGTCTGGTCAGGGCCATTAAGGCCTATTAGTGCCCTCAGGGAGGAAACATCCCAGTTTGCTACTAACTGCTGCTAGACCCTGACTGACTCCCATGGAGTTGCTTGGGCAGTTCTGTGTTGCAATTTTCTACATAGCTTATGTTCCTGTGACATCTGGGTTTTCCTATTATCTGGAGTAGCCCTATCCCACTCCCCCAATTAACCCAATTAGGAGGAATTTGATCTCACTTAGAATATCAAAATTGCATATATATATATATATGTACACACACACACACACACACGCACACATATATATGCACATATATAGACACACACACATATATGCGTGTGTGTATATATATATAGGCAAAAATTTGCTCTTTTAAGCTAAACAGATAGGCTTCCTCAAAACCCTGCAGCTAGAGGCAGATCCCCTAACTTGAGTGTTGGCAAGTCAGTACTCAAACATTAGCTAAAAATGTTAAAAGTTCCCTCAGCTGCACGGATGCAGTAGGGATGGGAGAGTGCAGTAGTACAGCCGTGCATCACTGCTTGTGCTGTGCTGACAGCTGGAGTTCCCTCATCTGCACCAGGTCGGTAATTGGTTTTGCATAGTGGATGGGTGGGCTGTTCTATGAGTGCTTAAGAAATCTTTGTTTGCAGGGCTGGTTGGGGAGGAGAAGACTGAATGGCAGCTTTCTCAAACTCTGTTTTCAACAGGCCTATTAACCATTCTCAAAAAGTGGAAATTCGCTCTCTACTTAATCACACAAAAGAGGATGGGCTTGTCCTAGGGGATCTGCCTTGGTACAATGGCCCTTGCTAACTGGTTCGCTTTTATGTTTGGATTTTCAGAGAAACTGGATGAGATTTTGGCAGCAGCTGAGCCCTCGCTGAGAGCAGACATTGTCGAAGCAGATTCTAGGGCAGCCACTGTGAAGCAACGACCAACAAGCCGGCGCATCACGCCAGCAGAAATCAGTGTGAGACAGGAGGGCTTGTGGTGGGAGAGGGAACGGACTGGTGCAAGGGCACAAAGTACTGGGTTATATGCTGAATTTGAGCAGCAGAAGATTGGTTTAGGACGTGATTTCACAAGGTGAAGTGGAAAGCAGAGAGACTGGCTGAAGATAGAGGTGCAGAGAGAGAGCGGGGCCCAGACAAGTGGTGGAAGAGCTGACCCAGGCTTTCGTGCATTTGATATTCCTGTCATCAACCTCATATCTGTGAACATTTTCTCCTCCTGTGAGGAGAAATCATAAGAGATGGGCACTTGTTCACAAATATGTGAATCTGAAAAAAAGTGGAGAACTTAGTCGGAGAGCTTAGTCTGGCTCAAGTTTTCTGGATGTGAACCTGGGTATTAGGAGGAATCATAAGAGAGAAAAATGTAGTCTGTGAGGGGAAACAGGGATGGAGTAGGAGTGAGGATGCAAGCTCCAGGTTAGTCTGAATTCTGAAAGCACACTGCAGGCAGTGGGAGGCAGCTTCTGGAACAGGAGATAAAATGGGACAAGATGATTCTGAGCAGAGATTGGCCTGTCTGAAACCTTCGCACACAAGGAAGGCTGCTGTGTCTGGAGCCACTGCCACCAATTCTTGATGGAGCAGTCTGAAATCCGGGGAGGTCCTGTATATTATCACACTATGGTCACAGTATGCTCAAGAACCAGCAAGAAGAAGCAGGCAAGTAGGAGAGAAGGAGGAAGGATTTACTCTTTGAAGGGCGAATGGCACAAATTCTGGAGACATTCGGGTTAGAGAAACATTGAAGATAGATAGATTTTTTAAAGGTACGAGTGAGGAAAGGGATTACGGTAAACTGTGGAGTCTGTAGTTGTTCCCAAAGAAGCCTTCCTTCTCTTAGGCTAAGAGCCTGCTTGCAGGTGCTGTGCTACAGGGACAGGGTCTGCTATGCAAGCTAACTTGGTGTTATAGCCCCAGCTTCATCCAGCGTTAGAAGAATCAGATGGACTAAGATGAAGTATTGTTTCCTTTCAGCTTATTCTCATAGATGTCAAAAATGGAAATGTCCTTTTTTTGTTTTCCTTTTACAGTCACTCTTTGAACGCCAGGGTATGGCAGCACATTCAGGAGTCCTGGCAGGAGCTGAGAAACCCCATGTTTCACTGCGCAAAGGAATTCCACGAACAAAATCTGTAGGTAAGACAAACTGTGGGGAAATCGGTTCCTAAAGAGGAACAGTAGTCCTTGTGAACCATTCGTGCCAGCACCTGAGCCAGCAGATAAGACTCAGCCCTCCTTAACTATCTTATAACTAAAATCTATTAAGAGTGGATGTGTAATGTGATTTCTATATGGAAGTTGCATGTGTCCTGAAAAACCTGATCTAACGTTACCAGTAGATCTGCTTTGAGTAGGCTGGATTAGAGACCTCCAGAGGTCCCTTCTTCTGTGATTCTGTTTGTGGAACTGCTAGGAGTAGGGAAATTTCTCCCACTGTCCATGCTCGCAAACTGAGATCAATGGATGATTTTCTGTCTGCCCGTGTTGCCGTTGGGCTGGGAGCGCAGTGTGCTAAATCCATGGGTGGTTGAGCTTAAGACCATGAGCTGTAACAGATTGCACCACTCGAGCAGGTAACAAGTGACATTTTCTGAGGACAAACAAGACAGGGGCTTGTAACAGGCACTCCTCTGCAGTCTATATCAGGACCTTTAGAGCCTGTCCCCAAAGACTTACAGTACAACTACAACCAAAAATATGCTTGAGAAGGAAGATTTGAGGAGGGGACGGAGTGAACAAGGGGTGGTGGCACAATGACAGTATGTTGGTTTCATTTAATTTTCTTGATTTTCTGTATCAGTGGGTTTTAGCCAGAGGTTCACAGGCTGCTGGTGGTCCATAAGGCCATAGTGAGCAGATCTCACTAGGGCATTCACTCGCATGGTCCCACTAGGAGACAGCTCCTCCAACTCCCAGCTGCAGCACCATACCCTCACATTAAGCCCTGCTGGGGTGTGCTTCACAAAGAACAGCTTGGGGGTCACTGCTCTTTATAAGTATGTATATATTTGATTCATTTTTATGGCAAAGCCCTAGTGCTAGCAATGTTTGAGGGCAATGTAGGTTGGAGCTGGGGAGAGTAAGTTACTATGTAAGTAGAGAAGCCCCTAGAGAAGGGGCAAGAGGAAAAGGGGCAGAAAAGAAGGTAGTAAGTTGTATGATTAAGTATTGGTTTTAACTAACCCTGAGACATAATTTGATAGTGATGGTCATGCCAAAACAGATTGTATGTTTAGCACACAAAATAAGTGAATAAAAAGTAAACTTCTTCTTAGAGCCACATCTGAGAGCAGCATAATCCCTGCAAGAATATAAAAAAAACAAGGTGAAAAAGGAGAGCGTTAGTAGTCAGAATGCACTTATTGATGCACGTAATTACTCTGCATACATCCCTCACATTCACAGTTGTATGAGATCAGCTGCTGCCTGTAGTCCCATGTGAGCTTGGGCCAAAAGTAGTAGAAAGCTAGAGATAATCAAATACGTTTGTGATTAGTTTGAAAAACAAACTAAGAGATAATCCTTAAAAAAAAGGAGCAGGTGTTTAATGGACTGCCCTAGTGTATACTTATATACCATATTGATAAAGCTTCTGTCGTACTTTGAAATATACAGGCATAAAATTCAAGTAACTCTGAAAAGCTGAGATAAGAGCTCAACTTGAGCAGATGACAAGATGCAACATTGGAAGCAAATATGGGCATTAATTTGTTGCTGATATGTTGCAGTACTATTAACGTACGTGGTTAAAAGGGAGAAGAGTTACCTGCCCAGTTACCTGGGGTCATCACAGCACTGACCGACAGACTTATGTCTGGCTAGAGTAAAAGAAACAAGTGGATTTTCTCATGAAGGTGAAAATTATCAGTAGCGCATGGAGGATGATGTTCATCTCATCCAGCTTTAGATGTCAACAATACAGAAATCTCCGTCTGAGCAAGATGCCCAGGATTCCTCTGTAGTGAACACAGAGAAACAGACACTTTCAACATATGATTTACCAGATGTGTTTCAGACTCAGTCTTAGGAAAAGATGAATCCTGCACAAGTGCCCATTGACTGTAAGGAGTGTCTAATGACTGCTGAGGTGGGAGACAAGCATACAGTGGCCAGTGATACATGACGTACCTATTTATGTTGAAAACCAAATCCTAGATGTTTGTTTTATCTGTGAGATAAGATAACCTCGTTTATGAAAATGTTTCTCAGCGGAAGTTATTCAAGGTATAATCAAGCCACAAACAGCTGGAAATTATAGTAAAGGGAAGCTATTGAATGAAGCAGCATCTAAACTCAACAAGAGATCATAAAACTGCAAAAGCATGCATTAAATATGAAATGCTTGCCTGTAAGGAGTTCCTTTTTGCCTGTGAAAGCAGAGTCAGTGACTCTGGCAGTCCTTCTAAATCTCTACCAGACATTCTTTGCAGAGGTATACTTTCAAGGATAGCTGTATGAGAGAACTGTGAGAAGAGGGATTTGACAAATTTGTAGGGTTTATGCAACTCTGCCTCTTTCTTGAGCACAGAACATAATGTCCCTGGGATGTCTTTTTTGTTCAGCACCTAAGACAATGGGACTCTGATCATTGCACTGGGTTCCCAGCCATTACAGCTATACACCTGCCATTCAACAAGGAGATTAGAAACATGAAATTTAACCTGCGTAGGGGAAGATTAAAAACAGACCTGGAGATACCCTGTGCTGAGCCAGAATAGTTGCAGCTGTCACAAATACAGCATGCAAACATGACCCTACAATAAATACAAGGAACAGGAAAAAACCACAAGTAACAGTTACTTATGCTCAGTCCCAGAGTGGCACACATCTGTTTGAACTGAATAGGAACAATTCCTGTTGAGTAGGGAACAGCAACTTCTTTTCTCAATTTCCCTTTACAATGCACACCAAAAGGAGTGCATCTTAGAAACCAGTTCATTTGTTTGGAATTCCAGATAAACTGAAATAGAAAACAGCCAAGGAGTAGAAATTGGGTTGCAATAGACTTGTTTTAGTAGTCCGTCTTCAGCTGTCATTTCACACCCACCATGACAGGCTCATACAGTTAACTTCATCATAAAAACCACTACTAACAGCAAAGAATCTGATGAAAAATAAGCAGGGTTGGTTGTTTGATTTGATTTGTTTTTTGGTGAAGAAATGCATTGAATTATTTGAATATTGCAGCATCCTCAACAAGTACAGCTGATTAAGGTTCCCAGGCAAAGGTTGGGGCAACGAGGTCAAAGCATTTCATGTTTGCATCTAGAAATTTCTTGAGACAAAGGTAATTAACCCTTAACTTGTTACAAAGAAAGCAGAACAGAAGAAATACGATGACAAAAATTTGAAGAAAAGAAATTTATTGCAGTGTGGAGCCTGATAGAAAAGAAAATTTCTGTCATACTTCCAAGATAACTACCATGCCATCTGCTCCAACATCAGACAGTAAAAACACTTGAAAGTCTGCAGAATGGTCATGGTACCTGCTGAATCCCTCCCTTGAGCATCAAAATGATGCAGATAGTGTTTTTGCAAGGAAATAGTGTTTTGCAGAAATAGTTCACGTCCCCTTGTCAATTAAAAACACCATGGACTACAAAGACTGGCTATAGGTGGCAGGTATATCTTATTGACTAATGTAACCCTGCTGAGGATGTAAGGGATGACTTGGTATTCAAAAAGATACTGAGAGTGCCAGGCTCTTCCTGCACTGCCTGCCAGCTCGGGACCTCGGAGAGCATGCATCCTTATTTGGCTGCACTGGTATGAAGCATCTGGCACGGTAGGAGCAGACTTTACCATCAGTATTGGCACCCCCTCAGTGGATTCGTTTCAGGACCATCCTTCTCTGTGAAGATACCAGATGAACTCCCAATGCCTTCCCTTACAGAAAGTAGGTTTTCAGGCTCACAGGAATTGTGATTTAAACTTTGTGCAGCATTGACCGCTGCGGTATCTGCTATTTTCACTTCTCTTTGAAGTGCTGTTGACTTTCCTTATCCTCCTCCTGTCAGTTTGCCATTGTTGCCTGGAACTGATGTCAGCCTAAGTAACCCAAGAACTGTAATGCCTACCCACTTTCCACTTTTGAAAATGAACGGAGCACTGGCACTTGGCACCTTAGTACTCTTAAGTTGTTAACCAGAAAACCTCAAGGGCAGCTTTGTTACCCGCTCAGCCATCCCTGCATAGGGAAGGCAAAGTTGGAAATGGTGGAGTATGATCTGGAGAGAGTAACTTCATGAACCATCCCAAATTAATGCACAGAGTTACCTTCTCACGGGGATGTAGGCTGTTACGGCAAAAGAGCATGAGTCTCATTTGAGACCAGTTATTCTGGGGTGTTCAGAGATGGTATTCTTCACCAGTCCCTCCTGGCCACTGGAGAGCTATCCATTTTGACACAAGCTCTCTACCCCAACCTCTGTAGTGTTACTTGCTCATTATAGGAAGCATATATACACCACTACTATAAAGATAGTGAATATGCTATTTGAAGATAACTGTAACAAAAATCTCAACTGCAGTTAGCAAAAGGACACAGCTGTTTATTTCTCATTGACGTTTAATTTTCCAGTTACGAACATGGAAGATGAACCATCTGAGCCAGGCAAAAAGGAAGGTCATTGGCAACACCTACCATTGTCCTGCCATTTGTGATAGACGAATATTTTCTTTTCTCAGTGATCAGCCCCACCTCCACCATCATCTGTCATGAGAACTTAGAATAGCTTTGAAAATTTCATATTCACCCAGCGGAACGTTGGTTTGTGGTATAGGGACAAGGTCTGGGGGAGGTAGGAGCGCTCAGTCTCTAGCAGTGAGCGCACCTGGAAGCAAAGAGCTCAGATGTCACATACGTTCCTATGACCCAAGGAGAATATCAGATGGCATGTTGGTATTTGCTGGGTTGAGATCTGACAAAACCAATTATCTAGATCAGGGGTTAAAAGCTTAAAAGAACTTTCCCCACTGTCATGCTGCATGTTGGTGAGACTCTGACTTACGCTTGTCATTGGGAAACATTTCGTCTCAGCTGATACCCTGTTTTATCAGTGCTCAAATTAGTGAAGAGCTGCTCTGCTATTTTTTGGCTACCTTTGAGTCCTGTGGAAGGTTCCAAATGCTGCAAGAGTTGGTCAAATTCCCTCTCATACAGACTGCCGTTCCCTTGGGCTGTGATTTCCCAATTAACATGAAACAGCATTTAGCAACAGGCAAATGTTAAGATAAAAGTGAAAAAAAAGAACTTATTTCCTACAAATATTTAACTGTTAACATTTCAATCAGTAGGAGTGGAGAGAGAAAAAAGAAGGACGTGCTTTTAGCTACCAATGTTTTAAATAAACTCTAATAGAATCACTCTCCATTTCATGAGGTGAAAAACAGCCAGGCTGCTTTCACAAGTCGTGTCGCTGGCACCTAACCTTTTAGCAAGACCCTTGTCTTCAGCATTTGCTTTCACTGAAGGGATTTCTGTATGGCTGTATGCTTGTTAGCTCTGTAGGGGTTTATGCAGAGTGTACCTTCTCCCCAAGGATTAAATGGCATTCAATACTTGAAATCAAGACATAAGGTTTTAAGCTGGCTCCCAAGAGATTATTGGTTGCCTTTTAACTTCGGAGGCACTCTCAGCAGAACCGTATCCGGAGACACTCTCAGCAGAACCGTATCCCGTGTAGACAGTAAATAAAACACAATAAAGATTAGCCCCATGCTTAACTATAAACAGATGATGCTCACTGAACCTCTCCGTGTTAAGGGAGAGGTTTTGTCTGACCTGTGTGATGACATTTAAACATTACTGAGTGATTTCTTTGCACACTGAAGACTGTATTATTATTTGCAAAATATAAATAGATGATTTGGTGATCACCATTTAATCAACATTAAATTATAGGTAGAATAATGCTTGTACTTCATTAATAATTCTTGATCAAGATTAAACACATTGGAGACCTGATAGCATGGGGATGAGACTAGCTATAGGGTGAATATTCTGTAAGTAAGTCAGGTTTTAGAGAGACAGCTGGGATTTACCAGTATGACTGTATTTACAATATACTATATTTAATATATATATATTGTGTGTGTGTGTGTGTGTGTGTGTGTGTGTGTATACATATATATATAAAGCAGGAAGGATTAAAAAAAAAGATTGGTTTACTTCCTTATTTTGCTATCACAGTAGAAATTGTTAGTGAAAGATTAGACTAAGAGAACATAATAACACAGCAACAAAATTCAAAAAGAGCCTTGTAAAAGGTCTTTACAAACCAGACTGGCATCACATTAAACCGATAGAGGGAGGTTCAAAAGAAAGAAAAGGAAGTAATTCAGTACATAGTGCTGGTAAGCCGCAGAGCCCTTTGCTGCAGGATATTGTGAATGGTAGAAATTTACATGAGTTCAAAGACCACTTGACAAACGTATAGAAGAAAAAAGTCCACCAAGGGTTAAATACAAAGGCACTCTGACTCAGGCAGTTCTTGATCAGCAGACTGCTGGTAGCTGGCAGAGTATTTGGAGAATAGCACTGTATGCTTGCCATGTTCTTCCTCATGCAGTTATTATTGGTCACGCTCAGGCGGGATACGAGGCTAGATGTGCCTTTGGTCCAACCGAGAGTCATTTCCATTACATTCTGCAGGTCTGAAGGAGAGATGAACGTGTGAAGTGCTGAGGCAGTATCATCAACAGAACATAAGAGAGTGAGAAAACTGTGCAGAGAGGAGGAATGGCAGATGAGTAAATGGATGTAGTTGTGTATGCAGGACTTGGATAGCAAGCACACAGATAAAGAGAGCAGAGGAGCTATGTCAGAATGGTGAATGTTGCAGGTAGTGAAGAAAGAGCCTGCCAAGAATCTGCTTTCCTCCCACCTCTTCCACCAGTGATCTGTCTTGAGGGCTGATTTTCTTGCTGAGGAGCAATAGGAGATGGTCTTTTTTACAGGGAAGAGACATTATTCCTGGTGTTCCTAGGAGCAGTGTTGTGGAGATGGTTAGCTTGGGAAACAGAACTGGAATGAAGCCTCTCTTCTTCTATCATAGGATTAAAGAATAATTTAAGTTGGAAGAGACTTCAGGAGGTCTCTAGTCCAACCTCCTGCTCAAAGCAGGGTCAACTGTGAGATCAGGCTATATTGCTTAGGGCTTTTTCCAGTTTGGGCTTGAAATTTTCCAAGGATGGAGACTGTAGGAATTTTCCAAGGAAGGAGACTCTCTGGGCAGCCTGTTCCACTGATTGACTGTCCTCATTGTAAAGTTTCTCCTTTTATCTGTTCTGAACCTCTTGTTTCAATTTCACCTGTTGCCTCTTGTCCTCCTATCATGCACTACTGTGAAAAGCCTGGCTTTGTCTCCTTGATAGCCTCCCCATAGGTATGGGAGCCTGCTATTAAGTCCCCCCCCCCCGAAGCCATTCCTTCGGCTGGCTGAACAAGCCCAGCTCCCTCAGCCTCTCCACACAGGGCAAGTGCTTCAGCCCTGACCATCTTGATAGCCCTCCGCTGAACTCTTCTCAGTTTGTTGATGTCTTCCGTGTATTGGTGGGGGGTGGGGAGTGGGAAGGGAGACTAGACGCAGTATTGGAGATGTGGTCTCTTGAGGGGCAAGTGAGGGGGATAATCTCTTCCCTTTACCTACAGTCTTTTTTCCTGTTCCTTTAGTCCTGGACACTTTTGGTTCATTTGCTGTCATGGCACACAGCTGGCTCATGTTCAGCTTCCTGTCTACCAAGACCCCCAAGTTCTTTTCCACAGAGTTGCTGGCCAGCCAGCCAGTCCCCAGCCTGTCTTGTTGCAAGGGGTTCTTCCATCCCAGGTGTAGGACTTGGCATTTGCCCTTGTTGAAATTCATGAGGTTCCTGCGGGCCCGTTCCTCTAGCCTGTCTAGGTCCTCCCGATATGTCCAGCTGGTCATTGAACTCATTAGTCCTTCAGGTATCGTTTTCTGACGTATTCAGAGCAGCACTTCACCACCTCATTTTAAAATATAAAATTGCAGGAGAGATACTTACAGTACAGAGAAATGACAAGTGGGGAGCAAAGACCAAAATGAAAAAGTGGAGAAACAGCTATTCAAAATAAAACAAAACTAATACCAATGCAATGAATACAATTAGATTATCTGACTATCCCCTTCACCCTTCCTACTTGAAAAGCTTTTGTTTCTAACATATTAAAAGATAGCCATAGCAGGGACTGTGAGCTTGGGCTTGTGGTCGCTAAATGTGCAATTCAGCCAGAGCTATTCACAGTCAACAGCCAAGAATTTGCAGCAACAGCAGCCAGTGGCTGTTCATAACGCTCTCCATTGACCCATCAGCCACTTTGCAAGTCTGCTCTTTGCAGATCAGGAAATTTGGGAAAGATAGAGGTGAACCAGCTTTCCCATTTTATACCCTGAAATATCTCTGCACTTGAGACACAGCAGTGTCTGTCTGCAAGATGGTCAGCACATCCCAAAGACACTCTTTAGTGGTGCTAGACCAGGTACTGTAACCGTCCGGTCATGGTAACAAACACAGAGCTCAGTGCTGTGTAAGTTACCCTGTTTCAACACTTGGCTATTCCCAAGTGAGAAGGAGAATTAAGCATAAAGGCATGACTTTTTCTTTTTGGATCTTCGTGCTGTTAAGTACATGAGAATGTCTGTACTGAATCAAACTACGGCTCTGTCTAGCACAGAATCCTGTCTTAAGCACTGTCCATAAGCAGATGCCCAGGGAAGAGTGAAAACAGGGCAAGGATATGATATTTCTCCTGAATGCCTACGCAGGCAGCTACTATTTTCAGCACAGTGGTTTCTATGCACGTAGTAGCCCACAAAAAAATTGTCCTCCTTGGCTTTGTCCAGTCTCTTTAAACTGATTTCCTGCTTCCAGCTCATTATGCTGCATTGGTATTAAAAATCCCTATAAAGTGTTTGGTAAAAATAGCATGGCTTTGAAGAAGAAGAATGTGATGAGATATAAAATTCAGTGCTCTTTGGCAAAAATATTCCCTTTTCCTCCCAGTGAACTCTACATCCACAGGCATTTGGTGAAATTGCTAATGTAATGCAGTACACAGTTGCCAAAGCGCTTTGGATGCTTGTGGACATGAAAGAAAAACCATTAGAGGTGAAGGAAAAAGGTGGTCATCGTACCACTGTGCCAAGATGTGGCTATAAGCCATCTTGAGCATTCTCTCTAAAGACCAGCTTTAAACCTTGAAAACAGCTGGACTGTGATTAAGGAGAACCAGGTATGGCAAAGAAGTGATTAGAATAGCAAAGTAGGACTGCATAAAGATGGGCAGGCTCTTAGAGAAGGCTAGAGTAAGCGAAACTGGTTAACTTGCATCCTCTGTCCTCTCTGTCACTGTACTTGCTGTGTCAATGGACTTTTCCTTATACTGCTTTACGTAGTAAGATTCTGATATTCTTTCGCTGAGTATTATTGGTGTCTGAGAAAGCTCTCACTGTGTACCCAGGTGGTAAGTTAGAAGTAAGAATGGCAGAATCTGGCTTTCTTACTTCAAATTCTTACAATACATAACTTACATTTCCACTAGACCCTGCTTCTGAATTCAGTCTAGCACATTTAAACATATGTAACCCCTCACAGGGGAGAAAGGAGAAGTGTAACATGAGAACAGCTAGCTGGAGAGTGTGAGAATCTGCGCATGAAAGGTGGCAGTGCTTGCTGTAAGTTACACAACCTGGTTGCACTCAGCTGTCTCACACATTGGCAGTTGGGTGTCAGTAGGTTTGATAGAGCAAGTGTTTGATTGTGTCACTGTTGCATTGGTCTGGAGAGCGTTAGGCAGGACTGTCTGATGGATTTAAAGCGGTATAAGACATTGTAAGAATCTGTGACTGCCCTTCTGTGCCGGGTGTCTAAATACATGATCAAAGGGCCAGACTACAATTGCTCGCACCAAAGAAAGAAAAGATGAACTGGAAAGTCACTTCAGAAAGAAAGCGGAGTGGGGAGAAGAAAGGGGTATCATATATGCACTTTGTGGTGACTGTCACTCTCGATGCCCTGGAGAAGTCCTCTCTGATTCCACTGTTCTTCTGGTTTTCTAGGTGAAGATGAGAAACTTGCTGCTTCTTTGCTAGATGGGAAGTTTCCCCGGAGCACATCAATGCAAGACACTGTTAGGGAAGGACACGGGATTCCACCACCACCTCAAACAGCCCCACCCCCACCTCCTTCTCCATATTACTTTGACACAGCCCCCCCTCCGTCCTTCTCTCCACCTCCACCTCCAGGAAGAGCTTATGATACCATAAGATCAAGCTTTAAGCCAAGCCTGGAGGCCAAACTCCATGGACTCCCACAGGTCATTAGCGCAGCTGAGATGTATGATCAGGCGAGGACTTCCATACCTTATCCTGAAAGGCAGAAGAGGGCCCGCTCCATGATAATCCTGCAGGATTCCTCTCATCTTCCCGTGGAGCCAACAGAGATCCCCCGGCCTGGGCCATCTGCAACCCCCCCAGAGAAGCTGAAAAGGAAAGGGAGAGTTATTGACAACCCTTATGCCAACATGGGTCAGTTCAATGTCAGCTTATTTGCTCCCACTAAGCCACAGAGAAAGAAGAGTCCTCTTGTGAAGCAGCTACAAGTAGAGGATGCACAGGAGAGAGCAGCACTGTCTATCACTGGAGGCTTTACACGGGAGCCATCTCCCACCCGCAGGAGCCATCGCCTGAGTGGAGTGGAGTATCAGCACCACACTGGCATTGCTCAGGTTGAAGCCACAAGCATCCCCTTCGCCACTGCCATTGCTGGAGTCATGAAGGACAGAGAACGTCGTCTGGATGAGAAGCGGAAATCCACTGTCTTCCTCTCAGTTGGGGCCATTGAAGGAAGCCCCCCCAGCAGCGACATGCCATCCTTGCAGCAGTCCAGGTCTATTGATGAGCGATTGTTAGGAAGCCGAGATGTACTACTGCCTTCCCCTGTCTCAGCTTTAAAGCCATTAATTAGCAGCTCATCTTCAACGTTCATCCACCCCCTAACAGGAAAGCCCCTGGATCCGAACTCACCACTGGCGCTTGCGCTGGCCGCAAGGGAACGGGCCCTCTCAACTCAAGTCCCATCCCGGTCGCCCACCCCTATTCACAGCCCAGACTCAGAAAGAGCAGCACCTCTGTTTGTGGACATCCAAACCAAAGAACCAGAGAGGGGGGAGTTGGAGAGTTTAGTGTCACCTGCGTATTCGCCTGGAGGCAAAGGGGCAATTGGAACAGACTCTGGGACTTTGGCCCCTGCCAAGAGCCCGTGGGGGACTCCATCCACACTGAGAAAAGAAACTGAGGCAAGAGCAGAAACACCTGGAAAAGAGGAGAAAAAACAAGAGGACAAGAAGTCCATGATCATTAGTATAGTGGATACATCACAGCAGAAGACGGCTGGCCTCATCATGGTTCATGCCACAAGTAATGGCCAAGACGAGATAGGACTTGAGGTGAAAGAGGAGAAACCAGCTGTCCCTGAAACATGCACGGAGCCAGCAGAGTCCCCCAAAGCAGAGACCCAACCCAGTCCTGTGGGAAAGCCTCCAGTCAGTCCAGCCTCTGACAAGACGTTGGGACAAGGGAGTTCGGAGGAAGAAGTGGAGCCCTACACAGTTACCCTCCCACCAGCTCAGTTGTCGTCAAGTGATGAAGAGACTAGGGAGGAGCTGGCCAAGATAGGGCTGGTGCCTCCACCAGATGAGTTTGCGAATGGGGTACTAGTCACCACCCCTGGCACACCAGTCAGCCACCTGGCTACGCCTAGCACGCCATCCATACCAGCGGCAGCAGTAGCACCTTCTACCACTGGCGGAACACCCTCAGGGAAGCCCTCTGATGCCCCCGTAGCCCCAGAGTCTGCTGCAGACTCAGGAGTGGAAGAGGTGGACACCAGAAGTTCAAGTGACCATCACCTGGAGACCACAAGCACCATCTCTACGGTCTCCAGCATGTCTACGTTGTCCTCAGAAAGCGGGGAGCCTACTGACACATACACTTCCTTTGCGGATGGACAAACTTTTATACTCGAGAAGCCACCAGTGCCTCCAAAGCCAAAACTCAAGTCCCAGCTCAGCAAGGGGCCAGTTACTTTCAGGGACCCACTTTTGAAGCAGTCTTCGGACAGCGAGCTCATCTCCCAGCAACATGCGGCCACTCTGGCATCAGCCAGCATTGGCCGGCCACGCTACCTCTTTCAGAGAAGGTCCAAGCTATGGGGGGACCCCATGGAGAGCAGGCCAATCCATGGGGCTGATGATGACAAGCCAACTGTGATCAGTGAGCTAAGTTCCCGACTACAGCAGCTGAATAAAGATACGCGATCACTGGGGGAGGAACCAACCGGGTCCACATTAGATCCCGGGAAGAAGTCACCTGTGGTCGCAGCACGGTAAGACGCTGTTCGCTGGTCAGGGGAGGGGATTGTGCAGAGTTTAGATACCCAAAGGGGCAGGGAAGTGCCTAAGCAAAAGTGGCCTGTGAATGTGCTGCATAATTCAGGATGCGTCTTGAGGGGCATTTCAGAGATGTCAGGACTTCTGAGCTGCACAGGGCGGAGAAAATGCTGAGACATACTTTCTAGAAGTTGGCATTGTTTGGTCATGGCTCCTCTCTAATATGCACCACAAACAGAGCCTTTTCACTGTTGCTTTTTCCCTTTAAATTGCCTTCCTGTTGTTTCATGTTCCTTCTCTGTCTTGATTCTATTGTTAAACTGCTGTATTTAGTTGTGGGTTTCACTTCTAAATGTTTTCTCCTGAACAATTAATAACAGTGTATGTTTTTCTAGTGCTTTTCATTTCAAAGGATCTCCAAATGTTGTCAGACTATGTATTTAGAACTCTGCTCAGTCACAGCGGAAAGAGAGCCATCACTAGGGTGGAATATGAGAGCCTTTAAAAAGGCCACAGCAACACTACACATGACCTTTATTAGCTGAGATACAAATCAGTTCAGTTTCTGGGATGAATTAGTTCTGACTGAACTGCGAAGAGATTTTTTTAGCAGCATGTAACTAGGAGAAATTACATGTGGCTCTTAACAGTGACATGCAGTCAGGCCTCAGCTTTGCTCCCCTTTTGGCACTCACATCAACTGTATTCTTCTTAGCACCAGCACTGAATTACCCGCACATCTCCATGCAGCGCCTCCTCTCACCAGCGGGCCACAGAGTCCACTGTTGCCTCGGAGATGTCTACTGATTGCCCCATCATTCCAGATCCTCTCAGCCCTTTAGTTCTCTCCTTCAAATGTAGACCTGCTCAAAGTCCAGCCAGCCTGTGAGATCTGAAAAGTTCACACTCCAGAAAGTTATGATATGAATCCCCGAGTATTTGCAGAAGTCTCTTTCTCTTAAAAAATTGTACTAGGATTCCTCCATCCCTCAAAATGTGTAGGAGACACCCGTTTTCTTCTCCCACAATGTAACTGTGACCTTCATGCTTCCTGAGCACCTTAATCCTCTCCATGGCCCTCTCGGCCTTGGTAGGATCCAGCACGGCCCCGGCCACCTGCTAGGTTCTCTCCACATGTCTGCAGGTGCCAGTCCCACTGGAGTGCCTGCACACACAATTTTATTCTGATCTGTTGCTTTCATGGAGACAGTGGCCCCTTTCGCCCTTGGTTTCACCCCTACTTGCCCCTATTTCAGGTTGTAGACACACAAACACTTTCTGTGGTAGCAAAGCCACGGTTAGCTGATCTGATTGGCAGCTTCTTGGTCATAACAGGCATCACAATTTACAGGCCATGCACGATGCTGATGTGGACCGATGGTGGGGGTCAGGAAGGTGCCGGTTCAGC